TTTCCCACAGGTGTTGCCATTGTCCCCTGCAGTGACTCATCAGTCCATCCTTCTTTCAAACAAAGACCCGCATTGACTCAAGTCTCATCTAGCCAAATTATACCATCGAAATTCTCGTATTTTATTCGGCGAAGAAAACGGCATCTCCAGGCAGCGATGTCACTTCTCTCCATAATCACTTTTCTACCCGAAAATGTTCTCCACATAAATCCTAAATCTTTTATTATCTTTCTAAGGGAAGACAGACTACCGTTAAACAGATCTTCTTTTCCCAACGATGATAATAGTTTTTTTCAAGGTTGGATATTCTTTTCTAATGTAGTATTAATACACGTGTTTTCGTATAGCGTCTTCCTGAAATACATTAAGTTTTGTTACAGTTTTCCCCCGTTTCCTGGAGTTAAAAGTTGATTATTATTTTCATTTTGTAATATTTTCAAATCTTTTTTCCTTGCAAACTCGCTTAACTGTATTTTTATGTATTTTAAGTGCAGCTGCAGTTCGCTGTATTGAAATATTAACTGGAATCAAAGGGCCTTTATTTGCCTTTTCTCTGTCAAAATACTCCCGCACTTTGCACACAAATTCTCTCAACTGTACTTTCAGAGATACGCCTCGTCCCGAAATATTTTGTTTATTTTGCGTTCGAGTCCTAGGTCTTCTTCTACTTTTCCTTTGCACATCTTCATTAGGTTGCTCCATTCTCAATCAGTAAGGTATATGTTCACAAAATAACTTTAAATCACGTTAAATTACAATTAAAATACCAAATAATATCATTCTATCACTTATACTGAAGAATAATAATAACACACGCACGAACATCACTCAGTCACCGCATGTACTAAACTAAAAGCAAGAAATTTTCCCCAGATTTAGGGTAAGCATAACGGTTCAGTTTTCGTGGAAGCGGTTGCCATTTGTGTCCAGGAAAGGCCGAGATTGTGGGGTTGGCAGTGGAATGCGCGAATAAAATGGTCACACTATATATATTAATCCATTGCAGTAATCCTTTATCATGAAAAATTAATTTTTTAAATTCGTTATAAATAATGTTATTTGAAGAAAATGTCACGTGAAGCTCATTTATGTACGACTAAAAATAACAGAGTTAACAGTGCATTCGGAAAAAATAATAACGTCGTTAATTGTAATCGTGGGGATCCTTGTTTTTAATATATTGTTTCTAAGAATGTCGACTAGTAATTCTCAACAAGAAATATTTTTCCGATGATTCTAGTCGCAGTTATTCTACATAAAACATGGCGAATGCAAAAAATGTAATTCGAATTCGTGTTTTTACAAATATATCTACAAATATTAATTCATCGAAATAAGATAAAAAAATATATAAAACATGTGCTGAAAACGTGCTTAACTGAATATTTAAACACCGTTTATTTGAAATTTCTAACTTTATTTTTTACGTTTCCACAAGTTTGTAAAATAGAATGTTTGTACTTAAAATCGATCGCCGCGCGGCCGCTACGCCAAGGCACATTCTTTCGATAATCAAAGTATATTTTGATACCTCTGGATATAGTAAAGACCATTGTTTATACTCTGATAAAAATAAATAAGTTACTGGAAAGTTTAAAGACAAATTAGGTGGTCATATTATGTAAGAATATTGTGTTTTAAGACCAAAATTATATTCTTAAACTCTTCTAAAATGGTTATATGAAGAAGACAAACAAGCATTGGAGTTGAAGAAATCAAAAGGAGTTGATTGCGCCACAGTTAAACATCTCCTCAGACATCAACATTATAGTCTAGTCAAGATATGAAAAAAACACCCTTAACCTTAAAAAAATTGCTCTAAAAGGTTTTTTGATGGTTTTCATTTCCAAAAAGTATGTTAAATAACATACTAAAAGTCTAATAAAATCGGAGTCTCGGAAATTGGGTTTTTCCAATATGGCGTCCAAAAAAAATAAATAATAATAAACCTTACTATTTTCCCTGTAAATTTTCTTCTGAACCTCCAATTTAGACCGAATTTGGTACAAACCTTTGAAACTGTATTATCTATAAACTATTCATGATTTAAGATAAAAAAATATACAGCAAACGTGTTGTATGGGGTTGAAAATAGGTAAAAATCTGTCTTAAGTTGTTAGTAGTAAATAACTTATTTCAACTTTGGTCACTATAGGGAACAAAACTTTTAATCCCTAGTCTGTGCTATACCCATGTTGTAAATCCTTAAAAAATATATGCAATTTAATATTCTTAATCATTAAATTATCTTAAGTGGTGGTGGGATAGTTATAAAAAAAAACTATGTAATTCTTATGGGAATTCTGAAAATTACCATATCTTAATTGTTAGTTGGTACGCTTGGATAACAATTCATCGTGGCCTGTATCGTCTCCACAGATACTAACACACACATATTTGTCATAAGCGAATTCTGTGTTGAGTCAAGCAATACAATTTGTTTCAATACTTTTTTACGCTCATTCAATTCTCTTATTTTGTAATAGTTCACAAGTAGTTTATAAAAAAAATATATGTATAATGTTAACAGGTATATTTTGGTAATACTGTTGTTAATCAGCTGTTTTTAAACTCCACAGGATTCGCTTCCGCTCGTTCAATTGTAGTTAAGTAATAAAACACAAATAGTTAATTACAAAAATAATTACATGTATAATGTTTACAGGTTTATTTTGGCAATACTGTTGTTAATCAGATGTTTTTTTTTTACTTCATATGATTCCAATCGTATTGTTGTTCATGTTTACAGTTATTTAGATCAAATTTAGTCTAGTCAAGATATGAAATAAAACCCCTTAACTTTAAAAAAAATTGCTTTAAAAGAGTTTTTAATGGTTTACATTTCCAATAAGTATGTGAAATAATACCAAACTAAAAGTCTAATAAAATCGGAGTCTCGAAAATCGGGTTTTTTTTCAATATGGCCAAAATTTCCAAATTTCCCTAAAATATTTCCATAGACAAGCAAGCTTTAAGACATCATTTATTCTCCATAAGAATAACATGGTCATTTTAAATGTACACTTTTTTATTTTCTCCGTAACCGTTAGGCATACAACAACGCTTCTGTATACTAAATTATTTGTTTTTATGATCTCTTCAAAATATATGTTCTGCCTGTCAGGGATTAGATAGGTCCCGAGTGTTGCTTGCACTAAATGCGTCGGGGCGCTCTACCATGGACCTCTAGGTTCCGACCTAGTGGAACCCAGGTGGAGTGACGCTTAAACAAGCAGCCGGAATCCCTGGTTAGGATTGAGGGGCAACCCTCTTTCCGAAGGGTCTGCTTCGGCAGCCGGCGAGCCTGATGACCTTAAGTCATCCGCCCATGATGTGCTAAAGGTTGATGCGTAAGCTTCGGCCTACATCATGGAGCCCGGGTTGAGTCTCACGACAGGTACCGGGTACGTAGTCAGGGGGCTTCGGCTCTCATGACAAAGAATAATAATAATAAAAAAAAAATCTCTTCAAAATGGTTTGGAAATAAATTGCAACTTTTTACAGTGAAAAATGGGAAAATCCCATTTCTACCCCGTAAAAAAAAGGAGATCTTAAGCATACTCAATTTTTGGGCTTAACCTAGACACAAATCTTAAATATACACAAATCATAATACAAAAACTTTCTTCAGGGTTGTATGTTTTTAGGCCAGTGTCACTAATGTAACCTGGACATTCTAAAATAAAAATATTTTGTCTTATGGTCTGGCAATCTATGGAGGAACGCCCAAAAGGTTTAGATACAGTTCTGAAACTCTAAAAATGCTATAAGAATCATGCTATACTTAGACAAACGATAACTGTAAAAGATCAATTTTCAAAACTACACATTTTGACTGTCTGATCAATAAATATGTACTATAACTAGTGGCCTGTTGAGGGCGTAATGGGTGAAATGAAAATAATTAATAACTCGAAGGACCAGAACTAATTAATAGTTCAAGAGAAAAATAATTAAATTAGAGAAAAATGGCCAATCTGCAATTTGAAGGGCACTGAGGTCCCGAGATGGAATAAAATGTCTTGTGAGAGGCAAATGAGATTAGTTTTAGAGTCTAATTAAAACACACACAAAACCTTAAGGTTGTACCTTGAGTCCAATTATCCAAAGGTGGAGAGTAAGGCAGCGGCGTCGTCTATTGTGGAGCGATGGCGGATGGCGGAGTCCTTAGACCGAGTGCTTCTGTTTTGTAGAATTTTGGAGAACGCAACGCACCCAAGTTCATAATCACAAAGAGCTCACTAATACGCGGAAGTCGCGGTGAAAACGTACGAAAAGTCTAGAAGTAATACACGGACGCGCACACACTGTCTTGAGGTTTGAAGAGTCTGAAAGCACTAGATCACAATTTAAGTAATTTAATCACAAACAAAAGGGGGAAATTAAAATGTATATATAGTTAAATGTACTATAGAGGAGAGAGAGGCCAGATATAATTAATCTATAGCCTAAAAATACGTTAAAGAGAGGTAAAAATGGGCAATTAATGTCCCGAGATACGAGAAACGGAATACACCGTGAGTTATGGACGCCGACCGTGGACAGACAGACGCCGATCACCGGATTCACTTTGAAAAATGCAATTGCGGTTTAGAGGGGTCTAGGAATTCGATGGCCAATAGGAAATGCGATTGAAGCAAACACGGTGTCAGGTGATTCATGGGTATGTAGTACAGGAAAATAGGCCTTACTGTGGCGGGAAATTCGAGCGGGCTTAGCAATCTCATTTGAATATTGAAAGCGGGAGTCTATTTACAATAAATTGTTACTGAGACTAAATAATATTACAATAAATGTGGTGATTTATATACACATAAGCATGATTAATTAACCAGTGACTTAATTAACATAATGATTAATTTCTAAATACTCTAAAAATATGAATACCGAACATTCCGGCCCCCTTGAAGCATTACAGCTTCAACAAACAATTAAAAAACACAAGAGCAAACGTAATCCACACTTAAATCTAATATGTACATAGAGTAGGTTTCTTGGACTTAGTCTTCATTGCATGGTAGAGGGAAGACCTTGTGAACAGGCCGTGTGAGTTGTCCGTTGGCCGTTTGAAGATGTACCACCCGAACAACATTGTCCTTTCCTGGGAATACCTCTGTGATCCGAGCAAGGGGCCAAGTGAGAGGGGGTGTCGGCTGATGAATAAGGACCAGATCACCGACCTTAAGGTTTTTAGTTGGGGAATGCCACTTCTCTCTCTGCTGAAGGGTGTGCAGATATTCAAGATGCCATCTCTTCCAGATGCTTTGGCTTAATGATTGGACGAGGTGCCAGTGTTTGAGTCTATTCTGAGGAGCATCACTGAGATCGGCTTCAGGTACAGCAGCTAGGGGGGCGCCTATCAGAAAATGGCCTGGTGTGAGAGAAGAGAGATCCGAGGGATCATTGGAGAGGGGTGTTAGAGGCCGAGAATTCATCATGGCTTCCGCTTGAGTTGCTACGGTGATAAATTCTGGGAGAGTGAGAACCTGATCACCTATCACTCTCCGGAGGTGATACTTGATGCCTTTGATGGCGCTCTCCCACAAACCACCTTGGTGGGGAGCAGCAGGAGGGTTGAAATGGAATTTTATACCATTTTGAGAGGCAAAGACTTGAATTTGAGTCTGATTTGGTGACTTGACAAGTTTTCTTAGAGCGTTATCTGCCCCAACAAAATTTGTGGCGCAGTCGCTGTAGAGGTCTGAACAAAGTCCGCGTCGGGAGACGAATCTGGTTAGGGCAGCAATGAACGCATCAGATGAGAGGTCTGTTACTACCTCGACGTGGACGGCCTTTGTGGCAAAGCAAACAAAGATACATATGTACACCTTTATGTGCCGAATCGAGCGAAGGTTGTGAAGTTTCACAGTGAATGGTCCACCATAATCCATCCCTGTTTTGAGAAAGGGTCTCGTGGCAGTCACACGAGCACTTGGAAGGTTTCCCATGAGAGGGGGGCAATTTCTTGGCCTTAGCCGAAAACATCTCAAACATTTGAAGATCCTAGAACGTATTGCACTTCTAGCAGACAAAATCCAGACACTTCGAGTGAGTAGCGCCTGTGTGAGTTGTGCTCCGGCATGGAGATGTCTGATGTGATAATGATCGATGAGAAGGTCTACCACGTGATGTCCTTTAGGCAATATGACAGGATGTCGAGAGTCATGTTTTAGTGTTGACGCTGTTAGTCGTCCTCCAACGCGCAGGAGACCATTGGAATCGAGCCAGGGTGAGAGACGTCTTAGACGTGAAGATACTTCTTTCTTCTTTTCCAAGGCGAGGATGTCTTCTTGAAAACTGGATAGTTGGACTAGCTTGAAGAGTGTGGTGGAGGCTGACTTCAGTTCGTCAGATGAGAGGGGTCCTACACGCTTGTCAGCGTGGCGGACATTGTGTATGAACCGTTGTACGTAGGCCAAGACAGCTTGAAGACGTGTCCATGAAGAAAATTGGGTGAGTAAATTCCACTCTTCTTGCTTCACAGCTGTTAGTACGGTCAGGGGGGTATGTTTCTCCTCACCCGTGGAAGACAAATCCATAGGAGAAAATTTGGGGTTAGGCCATGCATCTTCATCCAAATGAAGCCAAGAGGGTCCTTTCCACCAAAGAGGGTGATCTACGAGATCAGAGGCAAGAATGCCGCGAGAGGCGCAGTCAGCTGGATTTTCACTCCCCTGTATGTGTCTCCAGCAATGCGAAGGGATGAGCTCCTGAGTCTGGGCGACTCGGTTTGCTACGTAGGTTTTGAGCCGATAAGAGGGTGTTTGTAACCACGTGAGGACGACAGTGGAATCACACCACAAGTAAATTGAAGGAGAGGAAATGTGGTCTTTAAAAACGTTGCAGACATGTGCTACCAACTGTGCCAAGAGGTGAGCACCACAGAGTTCGAGGCGAGGTAATGTCGCTCTTTTGAGGGGGGCTACTCTAGTTTTTGCCATGACTTGGCGAACTATCACTTCGTCGTTTGACATTAGAATGCGGAAGTACACCACCGCTGCATATCCGCTCTCCGAAGCATCTGAGAACCCGTGTACTTCGACTTTCTTTGAGGAGCTGAGCATAAGAGATCGTGGAACCTTGATCTTAGAGACGTGATTTACATGAGAGAGGAAGGTATTCCACTTATCAGACAAGTCAGGGGGGAGCTGTTCATCCCAATCAAGTCCTGTTGTCCACAAAAGTTGCATAAAACACTTTGCGGCCATGATACATGGAGCGACAAAACCACAAGGATCATAGATTTTGGCAATTAAGCTGAGCACTCGGCGTTTTGTAGGGGTCACATTGACTGCATCAGAGAAATTTAAATTATAAGTGAAGCAATCAGAGACAGGTGACCAATGTAGTCCTAATATTGAAAACAGAGGTTCGTTGACATGTTCCAGAAATACTGGTAATTCTAGGTGTTCTTGAGGCAGAGTTTGAAGGAGTTCCTTAGCGTTGGATGACCATTTCCGGAGTTCAAATCCACCACGGGACAGAAGACTAATTAGCTGGCCTTGAAGTTGTAGAGCATCTTTAACCGTGTCAGCACCGGTGATTATGTCATCAACATAGGTGTTGGAGGTTATAACCTGAGCAGCAGCAGGAAACGCCTCACCCTCATCTTCAGCAAGTTGATGAAGCGTTCTGATAGCGAGATAGGGACTGCTGTTGACCCCATATGTTACAGTAGCCAGCTGATATGTAGAAAGCTCCTGTGAAGAGTTATTGCGCCACAAGATTAGTTGATATTTTTGATCGTCTGGGTGCACTAATATTTGACGATACATCTGACGAATGTCACAAGAGAAAACAATGTTATAAGACCTGAAATGGAGCATAATATCACAAATGTTCGTCTGGAGCTTGGGACCTGTAAGTAAGACGTCATTTAGAGACACGCCAGTGCTGGTCTTACTACTAGCATCGAACACAGTTCGAAGCTTTGTGGAGCTACTACTTTCTTTCAAAACTCCGTGATGGGGGAGATAGTAGTGATGAGAGGTTGAATCAACAGTTTCAAGTTTGGTCATGTGACCGAGAGAGAGATATTCATCCATAAAATCATGATAGAGAGTAGAGAAATGTTGTTGGCTATTGAACTTCCGCTCAAGAGAATAGAGACGGCGTTCAGCCTGAGGTCTGGATGTCCCGAGGGGAGTATGATTTTCTTTAAAAGGAAGGCGGACGATATAGCGTCCTGTCGAATCCCTCGAATGGGTCGACCTAAAGTGGAGATCGCAAAGTTCTTCTTCCTGAGTCTTCTTTGTACAAATTGGGGGTTCTTCCAAGGTCCAGAAGCGCTGCAGGGATGAGTGGAGATCATGATCGCTAGTGGAGAGGAGAGAGATAGAGAGATGAGAGGCTCTCGGAGAAGGAGAAGAACACGGAGCTGTTCCAGCAATGACGTAACCAAAAATGGTACCAAGAGCATAAGGCATGTGATCGCCTAACGAGTGACATTTAGTTGTTAGCACTTGAGGAAATAATGCACATCCTATAAGGACGTCAATGGGGCCCGGCTTATGGAATGTTGGGTCTGCGAGAACGAAAGGTTTCACCTTCTGTAGTACTTCCGGCGTGAGTTCCACACTCGGTAAATCGATAGAGATTTTTTCTAAAATATGAAAACAGTGTTTTTGGACAACTAAGTGACCTGAAAGTGACTCAACATTAACACTAAGTGAGCCTTTGGTTTGAGTGAGAGACTGAGCTAGCCCCGTGACAGAGAGATTAGAAGGGTGGCGTCGAGTACCCAAGAGTTGAGCAGCTCTCTCAGAAATAAAGTCGGACATACTACCAGAATCTAATAATGCTCGGAATACAAAGGAATGGCCATTAGCAGCGGTGAGTTTTACTAATGCCGTGCTGAGAAGGACAGTACTGTTAAGGGGAACATTTTTTTGCTGAACAGAACAAGTCATCGAAGTCGAAGCACTCTGTGCAGACGTGGGCACGGGAACTGTAGCAGTGGTGCGCTGCGAGTGACCTTGAGTATTGCTAAAATGCAGAAGTGAGTGATGCTTATTGCCACAAGTTATACAGGAGAATTTAGATTGACATTCCTTCACATGATGCAGACCGAGACAAGAGATACATCTTTGGTTATTCTTAACGATCTGATAGCGATCGTTTGGAGATTTACCTTTGAACAGCTTACATTTATATATTGTGTGACCAGGCTTACCACAGCAAAAACAAGAATGATCTATAAATGTTGACGATTTATTAGCGGCAGACACCATGGCTACGCTCTTATTAGAGGAAAAATGAACTCTTTTGTCCATTTTGAGTTTAGAAGTGTTAGCTTGTGAAGCCTTTGAATCTGGTTGGGAGTGCAAACTTGCATCTTCAATGTGAGAGCATTCTAAGTTTAAGAAATTAATTATTTCCATTACTTTAGGAAGGGAGTGAGTCTCATCTTCCTCCCTTTTGCTGTTTTCACGGTATTGCTCAAGTTTTTGAACAGTTTTACTATCGAGCTTTCGCAGCAAATGAGCAGATAAAAGTGGATTATTCTCCGTAATGTCATGATCTAGGGCCTTAAGGGATTCTGAGTGCTCATAAAAAGTGGTTATAAAGGACCTTAGCTGTTTAGGGTTACTACTGGAAACAGATGGCAGATCCAAGAGATTGTTAAGGTGTAAGGTAGTCAAGCGACGAATATTGTGATATCTATCACGCAACAACTGATAAGCAATCAGATAGTTAGCAGCAGTAAGATTAAGTGATTTCACTAAGTTTAATGGCTCTCCAGTCAGGACGAAACTTAGTAGTAGTCTTAGTCCTAACTTAGTAGTTAGGAGTAGGTATTGAAACTTAGCTACATTAGATAACGCAGCGCTTTTATGCACAGTAGTATCGAACAAATTAATAAAGGAAATCCACTTGAGCGGTGACCCATCAAAGCTTTGTAAATTTAATTTAGGCAATTTAACACCAGACACAATGGCGGTGGGAAAATGTGGACCGCCAGTGCTGTCAGAGTGTGTTGAATGTGGAGTGATAGGGTCCACTGCAGTATTTGTTTCAATCACGCTAGATATGCGGACGTAAAAATCATTAACGTCATCAACATCTTTAGATAAGATAGTTTCCTCAGCTTCTTTGCTTTCAGACTCGATGATTCGCTGTAGATTTGATTCAAAATCCGCACGTTTCTTTTTGAGTTCAGCAAATATAGTGTTTAATTGTCTAATTTGCACTGGAGTTAGCGGAGGATCACTAGCGGTAATCTTGCTTACCGTCTCTTCGAGTTTTGCGAAACGAGACTTAATGAGGTCTGTCGACTTACGATATGTTTCATACTTGAATTCCTTAGCTGGCATTTTGATAGAGGTTAAAACAATTAAGCGTTCATAGGTGACACTACAATAGGCCTACCATTAACAATGAAATCAGAGTCTTAAAGTTTCAAACAATACTGTACAATAAAACAAGAGATATGTAGAACAAATGAATGAGTCACATGAAAATTCACCGTTATTTACAAAAATAATAAATGGCTCTAAATAAGTTTAATGAGAGTAGGCCTAATTTATTTAACAGAATTGAGTTCTCCAAGACAAAGAAGTTAAACCAGCTACAATTACAAACAATGGGCGATGTAACAAAATATAGACCTCATTAATGAAACAGTCTAGAATAATCCTTAGTAAACAAGAATTGCAACATAAAAAGTAAATTATTACCCTAATAAAAGACAAATGAACATAAAATTAAACCCATCAATGAAATATGAAATACAACTACAAATACGCTAGCCTATATGTTTGTTTATGTACAACAATAGTAAAATGAGAATCAGTAAAAACGGTTATTTTGAACTATTTATTAAAATGTTAATTGACAAGATAATTAATAAATTACCTTAAATATGATATCACACTTTGTCAACCAAAATTACAGAGATGAACTAATTTAACTTTACTTCATTTAAAACCAAAATTCAGAAAGCATAAACAATGTTTAATAACAATGACAAATTATTGTTTATTTAGTACGATATTCAAAAGAGCAATATTGATTCAAAGAATAATAGTAAACACCTAATAATAACCTAATAGTTGGTTATTAAATAATATCAATCAACCTTATTACACAATACACCTTAACTGAGAAAATGTAAACAACAATAAACGCTGTGCAGTGAGTGACAGTTGAGATATGCGTCTGCTACTAGTGTCTGTCGTCTGCACGCAACTAAATCCCGCAACTAAAAACTAAATCCCGTTTTCGGGATAAAAATACCCAAGTAGGGAAAAATTTTCTGCTACTAGAGAGAACAGCAAATTGTACATGATTGTGACCTGCGCAGACGCGCGAGTAGAGAGAGATTGCTAAACCACGCCCACGAACGAAACGAGCGCGAGCCGATATTTTACCAAGATGGCGCAAACTGAAAATTGCAGATTGCTAAAAATATGGTTGATGGTGAATAATTGGCTGAAATTAATAACCACAGGACTGGAGACAATTAATCCGGCTCGAAGGACCAAATGTTGAGGGCGTAATGGGTGAAATGAAAATAATTAATAACTCGAAGGACCAGAACTAATTAATAGTTCAAGAGAAAATAATTAAATTAGAGAAAAATGGCGAATCTGCAATTTGAAGGGCACTGAGGTCCCGAGATGGAATAAAATGTCTTGTGAGAGGCAAATGAGATTAGTTTTAGAGTCTAATTAAAACACACACAAAACTTTAAGGTTGTACCTTGAGTCCAATTATCCAAAGGTGGAGAGTAAGGCAGCGGCGTCGTCTATGGTGGAGCGATGGCGGATGGCGGAGTCCTTAGACCGAGTGCTTCTGTTTTGTAGAATTTTGGAGAACGCAACGCACCCAAGTTCATAATCACAAAGAGCTCACTAATACGCGGAAGTCGCGGTGAAAACGTACGAAAAGTCTAGAAGTAATACACGGACGCGCACACACTGTCTTGAGGTTTGAAGAGTCTGAAAGCACTAGATCACAATTTAAGTAATTTAATCACAAACAAAAGGGGGAAATTAAAATGTATATATAGTTAAATGTACTATAGAGGAGAGAGACGCCAGATATAATTAATCTATAGCCTAAAAATACGTTAAAGAGAGGTAAAAATGGGCAATTAATGTCCCGAGATACGAGAAACGGAATACACCGTGAGTTATGGACGCCGACCGTGGACAGACAGACGCCGATCACCGGATTCACTTTGAAAAATGCAATTGCGGTTTAGAGGGGTCTAGGAATTCGATGGCCAATAGGAAATGCGATTGAAGCAAACACGGTGTCAGGTGATTCATGGGTATGTAGTACAGGAAAATAGGCCTTACTGTGGCGGGAAATTCGAGCGGGCTTAGCAATCTCATTTGAATATTGAAAGCGGGAGTCTATTTACAATAAATTGTTACTGAGACTAAATAATATTACAATAAATGTGGTGATTTATATACACATAAGCATGATTAATTAACCAGTGACTTAATTAACATAATGATTAATTTCTAAATACTCTAAAAATATGAATACCGAACATGGCCTGTAGGGGCAATGGCCCCTAATCTAGACTACAATAAAAAACCATATATAAAAAGACAAATACTCGAAATATGTTTTTAAAATTATCAATTTTATGTTACTTAAAATTAACAGTGTTTCTTTTTTTATATCTTGGTTTTCCTTCCGTTGGAGTCGTATATTAGATGCTTTTGATGTGTCAATGAAATACAATTGTAAAATAATGATTAAATCAATAACACAACATAACAAATGGAAACGTGCACACGGTTTGGCCTGAGCCCGGAGAACGACGAATCAGAGCTGAAAACATACTGCCAAACATTGCACATCTTTTCTAGTTTAAAATTGAAGATTTGTTTTTTAATCTTACGAATCCCGTTATAGTTTCCATTTTGAGAGCCAAATGTATGTAAAGGTTAAAATTATTATTAATTATTATGAAGGCAACTCCCCATTTCGCGGTAGTAAGTCAGAAATATATCTACGAATTTGTCCCTGAATTTTAAAACAAAATTGGGAAATTAGGAAAAAAATGTCCATTTATATGAAACTAGAAATAAAATTTATATAAATTTATCAATCTCAGCTTCTATGAAAAAACTAAAAAAAGGAAACCTTCATGGGATCAAAATTTTTGAATCATTTTCCTACAAAATTTAAAAGTAAAATAAACCAAAATTATTTCATAAATCTAGTGAATCAACTGCCAAAAAAAGAAAAGAACTATTATTCATTTGAAGAGTTTTTTCAATTAATGAAAAAAAAATAATGCTCTGCTGGAAAAAAATAAACAATAAAAACGACTCGATGACCCAAAGTACCGCTCCAGAGATTCTTTTGAGATTTGTTCACTGCAACTACTCTACTGGCTGCAAGAATTTGCAATGCTCCTGCAACAAAGTATGGTTTACCTTGTACTACAGCTTTTGTGGACTTTACCAGCTTGGAGAACAATATGACAGTTCGTAAAGTGATCATAACAGTGTACAACTTGATGAAAATTATGAATTATTATTTGTATAATGCTTTACTACTAATGTACTAATGTGACAGTTTGTTTGTTTGAAGTTCAATCACGCATTAACTACTGGTCGGATTGGGTTGAAATGTGGCTTTATGATAGCTCAGATTCCCGATTAATACAAGCCTATTCTTATCTAAAAAATCCGTTCGGGCTAAAAATGTATAGATATTTATTTAAGTAAATAAAATATGTATGTTGCATTTTAGCAAGCTTGTGATCTTTATTTAAAGACCTATTATTGGATTTTAGCAAAAATTAGTCATAAAT